TCACCTAATCGTCTTTCGCCGTTTCGTTTACAAAAGCTTAACACTTCTTAACCTCAATTTTTACATATGTTAAAGGGGGATAAATTTTGTGTAACATAACAAAAAATTAGATTGATATATTTTGATATAGTTGCGTTGTACTGCTTCAAACTTTGCTTCTCGGGTGGAACGCGCAATGGCGATTCGCGCTATGCGTCGCAAATCTGGCAACCGCATGTAAACAAAATTTATTGAGGTTAGTTGTAAGGCTTTTCTCCGTTTTTCTCTCTAAAACAAAACAAGGTAGACAGTAAAAACTGAGAGGAAACCAATTTTGAAGTTTCGAAGAAACAGAAAGACGTATTAGATGTTTTTTTCTTTTTCAAAATTAAAAAGAAGGATGATGGTGATTGAAATTAGCATACCGTAAAATTCCGAAAATAAGCCCCTCCCTGTATAAGCCCCCCAAAACCGGTAACGCAAAAAACCCTCCGTTAAATCGCCCCTCCAAATATAAGCCCCCCGGGGGCTTGTACTTGGAAAATTGCTCTCAAATACAAAGTAAAAACAAACAAAACGGTAAATTTCCTTCCACCTATATGACTAGCCCAATCGGTTTTGAAACGCAAATTTCCCTCCGTATATAAGCCCCTCCGAATATAAGCCCCTCAAAAAGGGCCTTTGAAAAACATAAGCCCCAGGGCTTATTTTCGGAATTTTACGGTAATTTCACCTTGCACGAGCTGCACGCATTTATAAAATACACGTCATCTAGTTATGAAACACGATCTGCTGTCTTGTAGTTTTGCCATGGATGACATGGATGAGTTTTTCTTTCGTGTTTTAGACAGTACTTAGTTGTTTTTGTTTTGGAATAACATCGACATTGGCGAGTAGTAGAACGAAAATATAATTCGGTGGTAGAGTCATGGAAGTAATAAGAGAAACCCTTTGAAAGAGCTCCACCTAAACCTCCCTCAAAAAATAGCAACATTTGCCTCTCGGAGGCTGCGTACCAGCACAAAGGAACGAGGAAGAAGTGCAAGAAAACTAATCAAGGGGCCATAATTCAGTGACAGCTGCAGTGTCTAATGGACAAACCACATCGCAAGCCCTGACCGAAGTCGAAAACAAGCGACATTTTTAAGCAGAGTCCCAGTCCACTGCATCACACCTTTTTGCTCGGACGCGCTCGTTTCACCGCCCAACCTTCATCCGCCCTGGTCGCGAACATAACGCGGCTCATACTGTTTTCCTTTTATTGGATGACCAAAAGTGACTTACCAAAAAAAAAACAACAACATAAGCTTTATTACCAAATAAAAGTTAACTTAATTTACAATATAATATATTAATACAAAAAAAGGTAACATTTACTCAGAATAACTAAAACGCTAATCGAGCTGAGTAAAGCTAAATAATGTTCGGGCATAGGAGGTAGGTTGGCACTAAAGCTAGAAAAAACAAGGAATTAGTAAATAGATAAAAGGAAAAAAAAGGAAAAAGGAAAAAAAAAAGACTCACGAACAGTAAGACTGTAAGATGTTTGACATGACTTTGTTTTTAAAGGATTTAAGGGGGAGGTGTTTGATGCTTTCATCAAGGTTATTCCAAACTTTTACAGCCGCGAAGCGAAAGTTGAATTTAGCATAGTTTGTTTTGATAGTATTGAGGTAATAGGTTGATTTAGAAGCAAGCCTGGTATTGTATGAGTGTATGGATGCTACCTTTTTAAAGAAATTTTCAAAGGAAGATGGAAGAAGATTATGGTGATAGTTATACATGAGGAGTGCATTGTGAAGGGTAACAAGATCAGTTAATTTAAGAATGTTTAATTTCTTAAAAAGAGGCTCAGAGTGATCACCTGGTTCCGAAAAAGTTATAATACGTGTTGCTTTCTTTTGAAGAATTATCAAAGGTCTGAGAGTAGAACTATAAGTATTGCCCCAAATTGATAAACCGTAGGTGAGGAAGAGGTAAATAAGTGAATAATATAATTGAAGTAATATGTTTCCGTTTACATAATGTCTAATTTTAGATAGTACCCCAATACCTCTTGAAATCTTCTTGCTCAATTCGTGCAAGTACGGTTTCCAGTTCAAATTAGAATCAAAAATGAGTCCTAGGTATTTCACTTGGTTATCAGATTTAACAGACATATTTGAGATATTAAGATTCAACTTATGAGCTATTCGTCTTTGCGGAGAATGCAATACCACAAAGCTAGTTTTTTCAATGTTCAGTGATAATTTGTTGGCAAATAACCACTGGCTCACCTTATCTAGTTCTACATTTAGGTTGGTTTCTAAATTTAGAATGTTAGTATTGTCAAGAAACAGATTTGTATCATCTGCAAAAAGGTGAAAATCCAAAATGTTGGAGCATTTAGGCAGATCATTTATATATAAAAGAAAAAGAAGTGGGTCAAGCACTGACCCCTGTGGTACTCCACGTGAAACAGTTTGGTACCATACAATATTTATTTCTGTATACCCATGGTCGTCTTTATTTTGAACACAATATAAAGTGAAAGGACAGAGCAAAAGGACAGGATAATGTAATGGGAACGTATGAGTATTTTCCTTGCTGTAAATTGAAATCATTCCCACAATAAATGAATGTGTTCAGTCTGCTGGATATTTTGTCACCTTCCTCAGCGCATTATCAGCGCATTTTATCAATAACTGATCGTTAAACAAAGGACTGTTCCCGTCTTCAGTGCAGAAATATATAAGTTTAATTTGTGGTCTCTGCACAAACGAGAACTTGGCGTGATGAAGCAGGTCAAAGCCCGATAATAAAAGATGTGTATTCCTCGCTCTTAAAGCATGTCATGAACTGCATTTTCCTTTTCATTATTCGTCCATTTCGGGACTGCGGGAGCAGTCGTTTCATTCGTCCTTCTTTAAATATTCTTCGACTGCGGGACCACAGGAGCAGCAGATTCAACTTAGGCTGAGACAGGTTATGTTTAACCGCTAAAAATCAGACGATCGGTGATGACTGCACAAACTGGAAAAAAAGGTTACCATGTCCTTAGTTCCCAGTGCTCTTCGGTTAGCTTCATAGAGTAATCGCGCCTCGCACTGCCACATGTTCCCCCCATTGCATGATAACAGTAATTAATTACGTCTTTGCTTAAAAAAAAAAGCCATTGGACTCACCTTATAAATTAACACACGACTGATATTCGAACGACAGTTGACCGATATATCACCGACAGTTGACCGATATACCACCGACAGTAGTCGACCGACCATCGACCGACTATCGACCGACTGTCGACCGACTATTGACCGAATGTCGACCGCTATGTCGACCGCTATGTCGACCGATAACTCGATCGACATTATCCACAGTAAACAAGATCCAACAAAACTTATAGACATACCTTATTTCAAAAGCGCATCGCGTATTTCAAAAGCATCATAAAGATACATCCAAGGGTTTAAAGAAATGAAACCGTTTCTGTAAGACGCGTTTAAACACGAGCTTAATAGACTCGATAGTTAGAACTGCAACATCAGTTACAAAAATTATTTCTCGTAAGTCCAAATTCCATGTACCTAAACACTGCTAAA